TGTACTGGTGTCGGACTATTTACTTATGTTCCCTGTTTTTTCTTTGGATCTCTACTCTCCACTCTGTAACACTGTTTTTAGGGGTATTTTACCTTTTCATGGTTTTGTTTATATCTCCAATGTTTCGTTGTTTTTGTGTCGTTTTTCCTAATTTTACCGTTGTGTGTGGTATTTTCATGGTTTTGTGTTTTTTTTTCCTAATATCTCCATAAACGGTGTGACTGTTTCCTTCTTTTTGTGTTCTTTTTCCTCATGTCGCCATTAATGGGGTGAGTGTTTCCGGCTTTATTACGACAACAACCGGCTTTATTACGGCACTGTTATGGATGGTACATGAAATTGTACTATTTTAATCACAGTGGTGCTGCTTTATACCACTTTAGAAACATGGAATTACCATTTCATTTTTGTCCCTCTTGCCCAATTTTTACACCATGATTTGGTTTATCTTTTTGCCCAATTTTTACACCATTGATAGTGGTACTACAAATGAAGAGTATATGTACCACATTAGTTATGATAGTGCAAAACCCCCATGTTATGTACTGCTTTCCAGACATGGTTTGACCCTTTCTATTGTCTTTGGTTGTCAAAGAAGCTACCATGAGTGACTGGGAAGTGACTGAATTAGAAGGGCAACTTGACAAGTTGTACTCAGAGATGTCCGAACTCGCTGGGCAGGGGAAGAAATTGGTAGAAGAAGCAGAACAGGTTAAAGCAGTACATGCGGCTATGCTGAAAGAAGCAGAAAAGGTTAAAGCAGTACATATGGAAAAGCTGGAAGAAGCGAGGGTATTATGGGCCCGTTTGAGCCAGTTTTTGGATCAGCATATTGCACGCGTTCAGAGTGAAATTGTTGCTTGCCGTTCATCGCCAAGAATTGCCGGAAATGATACTAATGTTGGGAATGAGCCACCTGTTGAGAGGACTTTCGAGGAGGACATGGGTACTGCTGTGGCTGTTTATGGTGCTCATGATGGTAATGGTGATGAGGAGATGGGAGACCAGAACCAGGACGACATTGTTGAGGATGAGGATGAAAATGATGAGGACGACGATGATGATGAGGATGACTAGTTTCATGTTATTATGATTTTCGTAGTTAAATTAGTATTGTAACGTGGTACGTTAGTTGAATTGGTGTGGCCGTGTTGATACCCAGTGTTGTTTTAAAAACATTAAAGTCTACTATAGTGGAACATTTTTCGTTTCAATTGGTAGTCGAGTTACAAATAACCAATCGGGTGATGTCGACGGCCTTGTATGACGCAGGTATTGGTACCACCATTATTATTATGTCACTTAAGAGAACTCTAGTTACAGGAATGGGTTGCGATTACAACATGAATAGTCAAAAAAGGTTTATGTGTCCGAATTAGGACATTATTCAGTTTTCATTGTCCCATACTTATATAACATTACAAATTCTACTCTTACAATACAAACATAATTTCGCACAAGGATTAAGCATATCTTAGTAGTACATTTAAAAACGTAAACATGTACCATTAATTATTATATGCATGCGTAAGTGAGAAATGGAAATTTCCAAGAGTATTCGCATCGGATTCCCAAATATATGCGCTTAACATTAACATTTATTATTCATCATTATCATTATCACTTCTCCCAACCCATCACTTCCACTCCCCATGCAGACTACTTACATGAAACATTTTATTTACAAAAAATGTAACAATCTGATGTATTTAGTTTAATTACTCTAATTGAAATATAGTAAACTAATTGTAATAAGTTTAATCACTGTAATGTATCATCAGAATCATTTGATTCTTTATGTTAATGGTTCGAGCAAAATATTTCCCCGTTTTCAGTATTTGCGATCTTGTCATTGAATTTTTCCTTTTGTCATAGGACAAATTATTCCATTTGAATTATGTGTTAGATATATTAATAACCTACCCTGTCTATCTACAAATCTTGGAATAGTGGTACGTTTATCGGTTAATAAATGTACCATTAATTATGTGCATGGGTAACTTCTAATTGGCAGTTTCCAATAAATTCTCGCTGGATATTTGAATATCCCCCAGTAATTCAATGAACCGACATCATCATCAAAACTCCCAACCCACTACATCCGACCCCATGCATGAAGGAAAACCGTCTCGTGGAAGTCTATTTATATGTCAAAATTTTTTTGCAAAAAACTTAACTTCCTTCTATTCGAACAAAGCGATCTCCCTCTGTAAAAAATTAAAAATGGATGTAGAAGCGAAAAGAAAATTCTCACCTTCTATGGTTGACATCCTTCCGCCAGATGTGTTGGCGACCATTCTAAGTTGCGTTGCTAGGTCATCTCCTGCTGATCTATTTCGGGGCAAATTAATGTACGCTTATACTTGAAAAATGTACTCTTTATGTTCTCTATTTCTCATCCTATACACATAGACTATAGTAATCTAATTTCTGCCATATAACTTGATAAAAGTTGTAAAACCCTGCGACTGATAGCCGAAGAAAAGGGGGTCGTTCAACAAATTCACCTCCCCTGGGTTAAAGCACGGATGTCAGGTACAAGCCGAAATAAGGCGAATATGTTCTGGAAAAAGTGCGTGCAGAATGAACATCCCGAAGCTCTGCTTGAGTATGGATTTGTACGTCTTCTTTTTTTTATTATTGGGAATTTTTTTCGTTAGAATTTATGTTTATGTTTGTAGACTTCTTGTAACTATTTTACCATGTCTCTTTACTGTAGCGACAATTCTTCACCTACATGGCGGTCGACGAAGGAGTGACGATGTTGGTAAGAGCAACTAAGTTGCACAATTCGATGGCAGACTATGTACTAAGCCTCATATACATATACACTGAACAAGAAGAAGGTGGTGTAAGCCTTTTGGAGAAGACTATCAACCGCATCGGATCTGCAGGGATAGTCCAGTGCAGACATAGGTTATGTGAGTTGGCGAGTGACAATTGGATGCGCAATCATATGATTTTACATTATGATCCAAAGCCGAACATATTTTGCAAACAAAAATTACAGCACGAGAAAACTTAAACCCATGGGATCACCTTTATGACGAGGATGCAGAAAGTACAATAACATGTATGACTTGTAAATGCCTTAGGGATATAAGCGTATTTTATTATCTACAGCAAAGCCGACTCATCGGTCGTGTGCGATGCATATCTGTACCACCCTAGTACTTGTACCACACTAGTTACGTGATGTAAACGTTCTCCTACGACTCTAGTATTTGTACCACCCTGGTTGTTTGTAATTTACTTTCTTTAAAATTGTTCGTTCAGGATTTTCAATTGTATTTTAATTATGGGGGTACAACTGTTGTCTTAGTGGTACCCCGGATCACATAACAAGGCGTACCACAATCTTGACACGTTTGATTGGCAAAAATGTTTAACAACCTTCATCGATTATAAGTCAAAATTGAATGACTAAGATTTAGTCACTTAGAAAACTATACTGTTGGTACATGTAGGTGTTGAATGAACCCGCTCATTGCCGTCGAAGGTTTTTTAACAATGATCTACGGTGATCGTAAATATCCAAAGTCCTAAATTACAAATCACTAAGTTTCTAGTGTACTACTTATTAATTAGTAACTTCACTAGAAATTATTTATTAGTAAGTTGGGTAGGTGGGTGATGTAAACGTTATCCTATGACAGTGGCAATTTTCCACCCTGGTTATTAACAATCCATTTCCTTTTTGTAGCTGTTCATTGCTATATGATCAGAGTTTAGAAAAAACGATTTTGATGGACATTTTGGGCTACAAGAAATATAGTTAACTAATTCTAATACGTTTAGTTACTAGAATGTATCATCAGAATCATTTGATTTTTTTGGGTTTAATGCTTCGAGCACAAATCGAATTTGTATCAAATCAATGTAACTATCAAATCAATGTAACTATATACTAAAAGATACACTAGCAATGGCACGTGTCATCTCCTGTCGTGTTATTTTGACTTTTTTCCTTTAAAAATACTATTAGTTAAGGTAACAAATCATTTACCAAAATAATATTATGTTTTTTACATATTTTATGTTACAAAAATGGTCAGATTTTTTTAAAATAATCTTATATTCTTAAAATAATCTGTGACCTGGTTTAAAACAAATAGAAAAAAGAATGCTCATATTTTTTTGCCAAATTTTTGTTTCAGTTGTGTATTAGATGCTACAATTTAAAAATGCAAATACCAAATCAACCTATCACATACTTATTTCTGGACTAATTTATGATTATAATACTTATCAATCAATAATGTATAACTATATATAACAACTAGGTTAGGTCTTGTTCCATGAACGGTACGTTATTTTAAATACTTTTGACAAATTAATTTATTTATAGCATAAAATATAAAAATTGTTTAATATCTTGAACAAAATTGAAGTAGCATGGAATATTTGATCAAGATCATATTCTTAGAATTTATTCCACCAAAAATACATCTTCTTGAAAAATATTATATATTTCCTTATTATTCCGTAATTAATTGAGTATCAACATAAAAATGGTAATTATTATTGCTCATCTATAGAGTTGACAAAATCAAACCTTTTTTTTTTACAAATAATTTCCTTAAATAAAATTCAGTAATTAATTATTAAAAAAATATACTAAGAACACACCAGAAATCGACATGTGTCATTGCTGGTGTGTATTTTAGTATATAGTTATTGATAAATCCCTCAAAATTTTTTTTTGAAAAGTAATTCCCAAAGTCTGACATTATTTTTCCCACTGGGAAAAAAGAATTAAATTTACGTGATAGATATATTAATAAATTTAAGGCTTAGATATGTACCATAAATTATAAATCTCCCCCACTATTTTAATTTTCAACCATCATCATCACAACTCCCAAGTCCACTACATCCAATCCCAGGCATGAAGGTGAACCGTCACTGATAAATCTATTTATATGTCAAACAGTTTTCGGAAAAAATTCACTTCCGTCTGTACGAAAAAAGCGATCTCGGATATGCCAATCTAAAAAAAAATGGATGTAGAAGCGAATACCGCTACAACCTCTATGGTTGACATCCTTCCGCCAAAAGTGTTGGCGACCATTCTAAGTTACGTTGTTAAGTCATCTCCTGCTGATCTATTTCGGTGCAAATTAAGGTAGGCTTGTACTTACAACATGTACTCTATTCTCATCATATACACAGAGAATGTAATAATCTAATTTCTGTCGTATCACTTGATAACAGTTGTAGAACCCTGCGACGGATATCCGAAGATAAGGGGGTCATTCAACAAATTCACCTCCCTTGTATTGAAGCACGAGAGTTAATGCCACACCAAGAAGCAGCGGAGAAGTACTTCGTCAAGTGTGTGGAGAATGAACATCCTGAAGCTCTTCTTGAGTTTGGATTTGTACGTCTTCTTTCTCAATTATTGGGAAGTTTATCAGTAAATATATGTTACTCACTATGTGAAACGGTTTTGTTTTCCAAAGTGGCAATTTTATAAATCAAATGTACCACCAATACTAAAGTGGTATAATTTTATCATCCATTTTCCAAATAATATGTATCACCACAACTGTAGTGGTGGTTTCCGAATTGTAATTGTTAGAATTTATGTTGTAGACTTATAGTCAATATTTTATTTTTTCTCTTTAATGTAGCGACAATACTTCAACACCATGGTGTTGGACGACGGATTGACGATGTTGGCAAGAGCAAATGAGTTGCACAATTCGACGACAGCATATGTACTAAGCCTGATATACATATACACCGGAGAAGAAGAACGGGGTGTTAAGCTTTTGAAGAAGACTATCAACAGCATCGGATCCGTGGGGATAGTCCAGTGTAGAAGGAAGTTACGTGATATGGCGAAATATAATGTGATGCGCAATCATATGATTTTACATTATCTGCCAAAGCCAAAGATATTCTGTAAACATAAACTAGAGCACGAGAAGAACTTAAACCAATGGGAGCTTCATTATGACGCGGATGCGGAAAGCACAGTAACTTGTATGACTTGTAAATGCGTCAGGGAAATATGCGTATTTTATGAAATACTAATTGGTCAACTCACCGGTCCCGTGTACATATGATCTGTGTTAATGAACTTTCTATTTCAAACTGGTGGATTATGATTCCTCTAAGTATATACAATGTGCAAATGCTCAGGAATATATATACAAACCCTATGTTGAATATAAAACATTTGTTCTCTCTCACCCGACATAAGATGAAAATGTACACCGTCAGTTACCCGGCATATGATGAAAATGTACACCGTAAGTTACCCGGTATAAGCTTTATTTGCCTAGCACTCTAGCAATAGCCGCGTACTAAAGAAAACAAATCAAATGCAGTATATTTAAGACACCGCATAATTAACAATAGAATAATGTTGAAAATCCCAACACTGTTATTCAATACGCAGAAACTGTCCAAAAGACACTACATAATTAAGTGACCAATACCAAATTGTTTCTGTTCAGCACAATACCAAAATGATACAGTTAAAGCATTGTTATCAGAACTTCAACAGCTACTTTAGACATAAACGACACAAGGTTTCAAAAGACAAATGATATCTTAGTTACCATCATCAAAATCTGGTAACACAGTAGTTTGGAAAACCCCTTGACCAACATAACGGACACTAAGAGTATCACCATGCTCAACATCATTGTCCGCCACAAAGTTCTCCCAACCAGAATACAAGAACAGACCACGGCCGTCACTAAGTTTAGAACCCAGCAATTCCACACTCCACGATGGCCCATCCGGTCCATGTCGAGCACGAGCAGGAGCCGAAAAACCAGCCGCAAAAGACTTCCAACGTCTAGGAAGAGGCTACGCACAAGGAAAACAGTACAAGCACTATATTAGTCACACACATATTATTATTCCACGAATAAAGAGATAAACACACATACGCAAGTTAAAATACCAGGGCATTTCTGTGGTGATTCTTATATTTAATTACGCATTCCAAAGGATCATGACCACCACCAACCTCATTTCGTTCTCCAGGACCTCCTCCAGCACCACCTTCATCCCTCTGTTCTAAATGACCTCCTCTAACAACGTCCTCCTTCTGTTAAAGCACCGCAACGTCTCCGCCATTTCCTCCCGAACGATTACTAAGGCGTTCGTCAATTTCTCGGGCAAGCTCTGCAAAGCGCTGGTGTCGTAGCCGGTGCAACTGGGCCGTCAAGACCTCCATACCTTTGCTGTATATGCCTTGGTAACTGTATCATATTCTTCTCTCTTGACCTTCCACTGCGCCCCAATTTCAGCCAATTCAGTGTACACCACTTCAACCTGTGCTTCTAACTCACTGACTTTTCGGTTGTTGCCATGGCTTCGATGAATAACTGGAAAAGATGTCTAACAATTTGTATTAACTAGAATTAAGGTGCTTTAGAAAAAAAGACAGAGAAAACGGAGAACTGAAAAGACAAGGGTTTTTTTTTTAAAAAAAAAAAGTCTGATGAGAACTGGATGCTGTAAAACAAAACCGAAATCCTTCCTCGTTTCTCGGTTTCCCTCTTTACTGTTATGCGTGCATTTCTAATTATTACTCTTTTACTCAACCCATTGAATTGTCAAATCAAACCTTTTCACTTCACAACCGTCACCTTCTTTTACTACTTAAACCGACCTTCTCCTTTCTTTCTCCCTCTTCACTGTATAATTTCTCATTTATGTGACTTCATATTTACAATACACATTGCAACTCCTCACATATACTCTACTCGTATGTGTGACCTCATAGGACCGGATTATTATTAGTAGTAAACTACGTGCATTACTTTACAAATCATAATTGGTTTCTACCAAAACATTATGATTAGCTAAAATTAGCGATTACAATTAATCTCCATATTTGTCCTATACCCTTATGATTACCTAAAACCTTAAGTTTACATATACATCTAGGTGATTTACCTAAAACATTATGTTTACCTAACAACTTTATGTTTACCTATACATTTAGGGGGGATTTAAAATGTACCACTGTGTTACGGTGATATAAAATGGCCCCATTTTTTACCACTCTCGAAACATGGTGTTACCCTTTCAATTTTGTCTATGCTTAAGAAATAAGTGGAGGGGGGATGGAGTGAATTATTTGTTTCTCATACTTGCCCTAGTGGGTAAAAAATGTATTCTGGTGTTTTTACTTTGGAAATGTTTTCCGTAGATTTTTTCCCACTTTAGAAACGAACCTACGGAATTAAACAGGGTGGTACATTAGTTGTATTTTTGGAACCACTGAAGTAAGCGTGGTAAGGTTTTCACACAATGAAACACTAAGACAACTATGATACCACTAAAGGCAGGGTGGTACAAAATTTCGAGTTGATTAAAAGGAGTTTTGGTAAATAGCTGAACAGGGCCCCAAAAATATACAACTATTTTAGCCCCGACACCGTACGTAGGCAATTGCATAAAATAAGATGTGATTAAGATGTAATTAATTTGATGAAACTTGATTCCTTGTTTATTTAATCAATTTAACGAGAATAAGTATGTTACACACGACGGTAATTTAATGACGGTACTCTACTCACTGAAGTTCCATGATTATCATTGTCAGAGGAAATTTTTTGGGAGAGGAAATTGTTTTGGCAGACGAAGGACTTCTTTTTCTATATTTCTGACAATGTGTCTTTGTATTGTCATTGTCAACAATATCTGATCCACTATAAATTAAGTCATTTTCAACAAGATGCAAGTTGTCATTGCATTGCCATTGTCCAAAAAATAATCGCTATTACCAAGGACGTCCTTTTAGGCTTTTACCACAGTCATAGTTTCAAATATCTCTTACACCCATTCGTAAAGTGTGTCTACAATGTTGGTAGTGCAATGCAATTGTGACGGAATATTAATCTTCGATGGAGCTTACAAGAATTCTAGAATTCACCTTGTATATATATTCGGGGTTATAAATTTGCGTTTATGAGGTTTATAAATAGATGGCACTATAAACTATTTTCAGTCAGATAATAAAATGTACAAAGTTAATTAGAATTCGGTATTTATTTTTGTTACATATTCTACATAATATATAAGTTAATATGTAATCGTTGTTATTCGATCGTACCCCGAAACCTTATGTTGAAATCGGAATGGTACCCCAACCATAAGTTCGATGAAACCAATTTTCAATCAGAATAACTATTTTAATAGAGAACTAAGTTATATTGTTTAATAGTTTGACCCACTAACTGTTTATTACCCGGATCATTTACAACCAGAAAATTAATAAAACCGTTCAAGATTAAACAAAAACCGAACCAAAGTGAACCAATAATAATTTAAACCAAACTGAAACTGTCTCAATTGAAACCTGTATTCTGATTTGGCAATAGGGAATGCGTACATATGCATGTATGTGGCAATAGGGACGCAGGAAACAGGGTTTATAAATACCATCTTAATCGGAAAATTATTTCCAAAATTCATTTTACATAACTGTTTACTGCCAATTCTCGGTTCCAATACACATGAAATGTTTTGTTCCTTTTTTTTATTTTCTCCCAATTTTCTGTTCCAATCTTCATTAGATATTCAGATTAAAGTTTTTAGGTTGATTTTGATCCTCCTCTTTTTTAGGGAGTTCATACCTTATTTTCATTTTCAATATAGGTTTAAAGTTATGATTTCAATTATTGGTAAGATAAGTTATATTGAATAAAAGACTTGACTATAAATTGTAACTGATATTGAATATTACATTTAGTCAAGAATTGTTGTCCATTGTCATTTAACATAAAATAGATTTATTTAATTCAGACTGTATTCGAGATTAATTTAGAATTCAACTGTTTTAGTCAAAATAGATTGATAAGTACTATAAAACTTCAATTCTATTCATACTTTTCCTTTGAAATTAGGTCAAACATGTGTACACATAATTAAAACACTTCGACTACATAGTACATGGTTATTGTTATCGGGCTTTGATTGTATATATATATACAGATTCTTCCTAACCATAACATATCAATCATCATTTCATAAACGTAGAGATGTACAATAACATGCCATGTCATGTTGTTGTGTTTGCAGATGGATGTAGACATACGTTGGTAGGTTATTGTTTGGTTTTGTATATTATGTATGATTAATTTTTTTTAATCCTGTGTGTAAATAACTTTCATCATATTGTAGGTACTTCCATAGGAATGGACTTCCTTAATGGCTGAAGTTTGTAGTCCTATGGAAGTTCTTCGAGGCCCTAATAATCGTATATGGCCTATGCAGCTTGTGAAGGTTATTGAAGATACAAAAACTAATATGTGTCTTGATATTGGGTGGGAAAGTTTTGTCAATGAAAATTACTTGGTTGATGGTGAGATAATGGTTTTTTATTATGCCGGTAATAGAACATTTTACGTTAGGGTTTTTTCACCGGCTTTGGGTGAAAGACTTGCTAGTATTGAGCCTATGCAAAAAGATGAGGTTGTATAAATTTAGCTAATTTTATATTTGGAATGTTCTAATAAAACATTATTATTGGTACACTTCACGGTCAATATATATTTGACACTCTTCATCGTTTTAGGTTTGCATTTTCAAAATAATAATACACCTCAATGGTCTATTTTTTCATTGCCTTTATCAGTAGTTTACCTAAATAGTTTGCTTTGTTGAGGGGGAATATCTACAGATAGGCTGAATATTTCTGTTGAAAATTGGACGATGCTTTTGAACCCCTAGTAAACCGCAAGAACTTCTCAAGACCTTTACCCTCATGTCACAGTCTTAGCGTTGTGAACAATTTTGGAAAACACCACAATATTCAAGTTGTGAACTATTCACCATTATCTGAAATATTTATAACTAGTCAAAGCTTTGGAAAATATCTTTTGATAATATATTTGCCACATTTACCTCCTCCTCGATTCCCGATTTTCCCTCTTAACTGCAATTCATGCATTTCTAGTCATTAGTACTCCCATTGAAATGTCAAATCAGCCCTTTTCACTCCACCCTTCCAACTTCACACTCCACCTCAACCTTATAGGGATTTGACCCTCTCTCTTTCTCTCTTGTTACTTCATCTCACATTTTACTTTAATCTCCATCT